GGCAGCCGCCCGCCCGCTGCCTCCCGGCAAAGTTTGTGCCGCGTGAGTGCTTCCGAGCGACCACGAAACTTTGAGTGGCGAGGGCCCTACTGCTGCTCGCCGGGTCCCCTACCTGTTCAAGTCCTGGCGTCCACACGTTAGTTTCCTGACATTTAGGCTTGTTGATTTTTAGGCGATTTTGTACATTTAAAACATTTAAATGACCGTTGAGGTCCTCATTACGAACAAATGAGTAACAAGCACTGTGAGTATGATCGTGTCTGCACTTTTTGAGATCACACCGGAGGACCGTTTTCTGCGTGGCATCGCCTCTGCTAGGAAGCGCAGATCGCTACCATGGCTGGGTTTGGTATTAGGGGACGCTGTCGTCACTCCCGTGCTAAGTGACCAGCGGCTTAGTTTCATACTCCGAGAAGTTAAAGTGCTCTGAAATGTCAGTCTCGTTGCTAACATCGAGCGTTCTCTTCTTTTTTAAGGAAAGTAAGTAAACATGGGCAAAGGAGATCCTAAGAAGCCGAGAGGCAAAATGTCATCATATGCCTTCTTTGTGCAAACTTGCCGGGAGGAACACAAGAAGAAGCACCCAGATGCTTCCGTCAACTTCTCAGAGTTTTCTAAGAAGTGCTCAGAGAGGTGGAAGGTAAGAGGGCTTAAAACGCACAAAAAAGAGTGGAGCCTATGTCCTTTTGCATACTGAGTGGCAATGTCAGGCTCCTCAATAACAAAGGACACTCACTGGTTTTATTCATTTTAATACTTGAGGATAATTTATTAAAATCTTATCAACTTAAAGTTTACAAATAATTCTTTTATAGACCATGTCTGCTAAGGAGAAAGGAAAATTTGAAGACATGGCAAAGGCGGACAAGGCTCGTTATGAGAGAGAAATGAAAACTTATATTCCTCCTAAAGGGGAAACAAAAAAGAAATTCAAGGATCCCAATGCACCCAAGAGGCCTCCGTAAGTATCTTGCCATTTTTCTTTCAAGAAGTGTTTTGCAGTAAAATCACAAATTCAGCAAGCCACCTTGTGGGTTTGGAGTGTATAAGCAAAGTTGCTTAGCTAATAGTGGCTCACATTGGTATATTTAAGTGTTGTAAGTAAAATTCCTATGGGATGGGACTTTAGCCAGAGCATTTGAACTTGGTATTTGCTTTCTTCACCCAATATATTTGTAAATGTCATTTTGAGTCTTTTCTTGAGAAATATCTGAAATACTTAATTTGCAGAATGTCTTTTTGGAGCTCTAACATTAATATTAATAGTGTCTATTCAACTAGTACTATCATGTTAAATAATTGTAAATCGGGCTTTGGTTATGAAGGATAATTAGCATATTATGATATTTGTACCCTATCCAATGCATGCTAGAAATTAGAAGCAGTTTTTTATATGTAAATAAACTACACATTTGATAGTAAACTTCTAAAATGAAATTTCTCTTTGTAGTTCGGCCTTTTTCTTGTTTTGTTCTGAGTATCGCCCAAAAATCAAAGGGGAGCATCCTGGTCTATCCATTGGTGACGTTGCAAAGAAGCTGGGAGAGATGTGGAATAACACTGCTGCAGATGACAAGCAGCCTTATGAAAAGAAGGCTGCTAAGCTGAAGGAGAAATATGAAAAGGTAAGGAGTATAGATTTGCTTGGTGTAATTAGGTAATCTTGGTACTTCGCCTTAATTTCTATTTTCTTGGGTGTTTCTAAAAATTTGAGGTATAATGCTGGTTTTTTGATGTTAGTATAACAGCTATGTTTAGTATGTTCACTGGATATGATCCTAAGTCCTTTTCCATCTTTTAAATTAGTAGAATATGAAATTGTAATAGAAATGTGTTGGGTTTTTTTGTTCGTTTTTACTTTATATTATTTGCCTTGGGCAAAGATTGTGCATTTAAGCTGGGTTTGTTATTCCCCAATATCTCCGAATATGTTGAAGTTTTGGTAGTTACTTTGAGTCAGATGATTAGTTATTTTAAATGGTCTAGGTATACAATATAAAAGTAGGTTGAACAAAAATAATATAGATTGTGTACTTCATAAACATGCCCTGAAACATTTATATTCTCTGTCTTAGATAACCCCAGAATACTAAATTTTAAGTTAAAAAGTTAATGTCTGTAATAAATTGATGTGAAGGAAAGTCTATAACCCCTGTACTTTGAATTAAAATATTAAAGTTAAATTTTATCTTCTTATTCTGGGGGGGAAAGTATTCTTTTCTAGATGTTTCTTAACCTTAATTGCATGCTTACTTGATAAATTACTTTTTTTTTAAGATAAAATTTTTTACTATGTATGGATTAGGATCTGACAATATAAACCCGTAGAATGCTTTTTTGCATTCAGAAGGTGGCAGTGTCTACCCTTTAATCAAAGTCTCTACATTCTAGTTTCAATAAAGAAATGTTAGCATGTGCATAATTTCACTTCAGTGAGGCATAACATGGCAAATATTAGACCGTGAATTATAATCACCTCATTTTTATATGCATTTTTCAAAGTCTTGGTTGTTTGTGGATGTAGAGTGAGCCTTCAGATGTGTGGTATTTTAGCATAACTGGGATCACTTGATTTTTTTTTTTTAATCAGGTTTTCCCATGTTGCTTTTTATTTCTCCCCATACTTTAACTGTATTGTCTTTCCTACCAATTTCTCCTGCCCTTATCTTGGAAGGATATTGCTGCATACCGAGCTAAAGGAAAGCCTGATGCTGCCAAAAAGGGAGTTGTCAAGGCTGAAAAAAGCAAGAAAAAGAAGGAAGAGGAAGAAGATGAGGACGATGATGAGGAGGAAGAGGAGGAGGAAGATGAAGAAGAAGATGATGAAGAAGAAGATGATGACTATTACAAAATAATTGTTGTTCCATTAACTGAATATCACTCTGTAATTGCAAAAAAAAGTTGCAGCTGTTTTGTTGACATCCTGAATGCTTCTCAGTAAATACAATTTTTTTTTTATTAGTATTGTTGTCCTTTTCATAGGTCTGACATTTTTCTTCTTGAGGGGAAGCTAGTCTTGCTTTTGCCCATTTCGGATCAAATGTTTATTGAAGCGTTTATCTTTTCATATATCTAGCTGATAAAAAGTATTTGTCTGCACACCCTGTGTACTCGTGATGAGGGCAATGAGAATTGAATTGAGGCTGTTTTCATCCATAACAAACTCAAAATTCTGGTCAGTTGATAATTTTCACATAGCCCTGTTACATTTACAAAGTGCAAAGTAACCACTCTACTCACAGCATGGGATCATTAGAAGCACGCATTTGGAAGTCTGTCCTTGAAGGACTACTAATAGGAAAGTTGGTATTAATCTTTACATGAGCACTTGACTTTTTTTTTAAACTCCCACTATCAAGTAATGGCAGTTATGTTTGCAGTTCCCACGTTACAGAAGGCCTGAGACTGTATCCCCAAAAGCGTGAGCTTAAAATACATGACCGCTGAATGAAGTTTTTTGTGGACAGTAGTCCTGGCAAAGGCTCTGAAGAAAAAAAAAGTGGTCTGACTAAATGACTTATTTATCTAAATATGGATTGCTTAGGAAACTTGAGACTCCATTCAAGGTATTTTTAATTAATTGGGCCAACTTTTAAAATTGTATACCACATTTAAGATTGAGTATATTTTCCAAATTATAGTTTTTCCCCTTTATAAAATCAAATAGACACGAGGGAAGTAAACTTTGTATCACAGATTGTCCAATTTTTTTGAATTTGATTTTTATAAGACTCAAAACTCATTAGGGCCATGTTTATCCGCTTAGCTGTTTAGGAAACAATTTGGCAATTTTGTGGTTTTTGACATTATCTTAACGGTGCCAGTGTTTTAAAATAGCGTTCTTGTAATTTTACACGCTTTTGTGATGGAGTGCTGTTTTGTTATATAATTTTGACTTGGATATTTTCATTTGCATTTGTTTATGTAATTTCAGGAGGAATACTGAACATTTGAGTCCTGGATGATACTAATAAACTAATTGCAGAGGTTTTACATATTAGTTAAATGGCTTTCACTTGAGATTTTAAGATTTTATTATATACATACATATTTTAATCTTGTTTCTGATAGCAACACTAAATACAGACTGGCAGAGTTTTTCTTTAAAAATATTTGATGCTTATAAATAGGTTAATGGGCTGATGAAAAACCAGGTTTTTGTCACATGCTAAGTGATCTCAGAGGATACTAAATATATAAATGAGGGAAAACTAATTTTACTTTCAGAATGTTGGGCTAAACAAGATAGTTTTTAAAAGTAAGGATAGTGATAAATGTAAGCCAAATAGAAAGGTTGCCATTGTGTTCAAATTCATCAAAAATGTTTAGAGGGAATAAGTCACTATCCTTTCTGATTTATAAGTTTCTGTGGCTATAGAATCACAATTTCAAGATCAGTTGCCAGCAAGTCTGATCCCTTTAAAAGTGAATACATCCTCAAGGAAACTAATTTTAGTGGGTGTGTCATGAAAACTTTTAAGATGTTGAGAATCTGAATAAAGTTTTTGGGCTAACTGCCTCAGGTCTTAAGGGAAAAATGGATAAAAATCCTCTTCAATCTGAAAATCATTACTGTTTCAACAGTAACCCCTGGAACTTGGATGTCCAAAACTCAAGTAAATGAAGGAGGGAGACAATTTAGATGATTTGGTGTTAAACTGCAAACAATTCTTTAAAAGTTAAGGTATCGGAACTTAGTGTTATAGTTTCAGCACTATGGAGTATAAGGATATTATCAAGAAAAGATTAAACTATAAATTTTCTACATTTTAAAAAAATCAGTATACTGATTGGAAATTTAACCTAATACCCGATTTCCTAATTTACCTGTACAAAGATTGAGAATTATTGCTGGGTTGTAATCTGATCTCCTATCAAGGTGCTGATTTGCCATATCAATTTTTTTTACAGTGAAATTCGAAAAATCTTTTCTGACTTCTATGCATCATGGGTAAGAAATAAGTGCGCTGAGTAGCTGTTAGACAAATATTTCCCTCACTGCCTAAGGAATTATACTTATTGCTCAGATGTTAGTGTAGTATCTAGCTATATAGGAAACTACAAAAAAAATAAGATTTTTAAATGAAAATTGTGGCCAATTTCTTTGGCATCACATACTGTATTTGCCGGCGTATAAGACGACTGGGCGTATAAGACGACCCCCTAACATTTCCACTCAAAATACAGAGTTTGTTATATACTCGCCGTATAAGACTACCCCCTCTTCCGCACACCTTCCACACACCAAATAAAAGGTAAAACAATATCAGATTTGATTTTAACATTTTAA